TGTGTTTTCTAGAAAATTATATTTCATTTCCGTTTCGAAGTTTATTGGTGTAAAGTTCTTCATAATTTCCTCTTCTAATATCCTCCCATCCTTGTCTGTGGTATCTGATGTCGTTTCATAACCACTTCTGGCTCCTTATCCACTGGGCTTCACGCTTCTCAACTACAACATAAGATAACAGTACCACTACCATTACAGCACGGTTTTGTTTGTTCTGCCACTTCCATCTATTCATTTGGTCCATTTTTCTTTCTTTTTTTTTTTGTCTTCATTTGGACTGAATAATTTTTTTCCTTATTTAACTTTTTGGAGCATCCAGTTTAGAAGTTGTGCATGCACTTTCTTACTTTCTTAATGGTTACCCCAGAAACTAAAGTTCTGTAACTAAAGCACAAAAGCTTGCATCTAAGTTAATGGATATCTTTATCCTCCTCCCGAGCCTTTGAAATTAAAATTAAAGCCTTGACTCCGTCTTCCCCTCACGAACGTGTGTTACTTTGCTGTACATGTTAGGTCTGTGGTGTTTCCACTCGGTAATTCATGCTGATGGTGATGACTGACAGTCAATGCTGGTTCAGATTTTCCCACATTGCTATTGTCCTTCTTTCCTGCATTTCCAACGGTCAGATAGTGATTCCTTCTGCCTGGAGTTCATTCCCTAGAATTCCGTGTAGTGAGGCTCTGGCGGCGGAGAGCCCTGGGTTTTGTTTCTGTAAGAATGTTGCTGTTTCACCCATTAGAACGTGTTGGTGTCACTCAGATGTCACTCCACTGACATCTGGACTCCGCTGTGGCGGACGGCAAGTCAGCTATCAAGGTGCCACCTCTTTAGGGGGCTTTGCCTTGTCTTCTAGCTCCTCAGCAATCACCCCTTCACGTCTGGTGTTTGGAATCATATTATGATGAGTCTATTGTGTATTTTCAATGCTATGCTCCGTGGGGTTGGTGGGGCTTCCGGAAGTGTGGGGTTTGTCCTGTCAGTTCTGAGGGTCTCAGTCATGCCCCTTCCCATCCTGCCTCTGCTCCATCCTGTCCTCTCTTCCAGGAACTCTGATGATGTGAGCGTCCTCACCCTGCTGGCTGTGGGTTTTTTAGTCTCTTTCATATTGTCGGTCCTCTCTGAGCTGCATTTTTTATAACGTCGCCAGCTCTATCTTCCATTCACTTGTCTCCCTCGAGCTGGGTTTAATCTGCCTTCAACGCACTCATTAAGTATTTAATTTTAGTTCTGTCACAGTTACGGGACTTCCACTTGATTATTTTTGTGATGCTCTCAATCTTCACCCATTTTCATCTTCTTTGTCATTTTTGTGACATAGTAAGGCACCAATTTCACAGTCTGTCTGAGGAAGCTGGTGCGTGGTTCTCCTTCAAGCCCGGTTTGCTGCCTTTGTTCTGCCCTCACACATGATGCACTGTTTCCTTGTGTGTTTGATGATTTTCTTTCTTTTAGAACTGAATTATTCATTTGCCTTGGAGATTTGGGACAGAAGTGGCTTCTTCCAGAAAGGATGTGTTTACTTCTGCGAGCCGTCTGCTGCGTGGCGATGGGGGCGCTGGGTGACTGGGGCCATTTTCAAGTTAATGAAGGATGCGGGGCTGGGGGCGGCGCTGGGGGAGTGTGGCCTGGGACTGGAGGTCACGGGAAGGCCAATTTGGGTGGATTCAAAGCGTGGAGACCGGACAGTTCTATTTCCACTCTCTGAGTAGGGGAGGGGGCATTTCCAGTTCACCCCTGACTCAGGGTAGAATCCTTTGGGTTCCCAAATTAATGGGGTGCAGCCTCCCCTGAGCTTGCCCACCTGGGTGGGTGTGGTCCGCCCCTCCCCTTCCCAGTTCTGTGAGGGTGGCGAGCCGGCGCCCCTCCCTCTCGGGGCTTTGCCCACACAGGTCAGGCAGGTGCTTCTGCTTCTTACGCCCCTGCCGCCCACGGGGCGTCACCACGTGTCTAATAGAAGTGCCATCACTCAGTCGGTTTCAGGAGGAGGCTTAGTCTGTGCCCCAGTCCATCACGGAAACACCTTTGGATCTTTACTATTTGCCTTAACCCCTTCGGCCATGGTTCCGAGGCCCAGGGGCCAGGCGACCACAGGCTCCCCGCCTCCTCTCTGCGCCCGGGGCCCAGGCTGGCGCGAGCCACCAGGAGGACAGAGTTCCTAGGCTGGCGGCTCAGAGGCATCACCTGACGCCGTGTCTTTCTAAACCATCCACAGGTCCAGCCTCGGCCTGAATGCAAATAGCTCGTGACGTCACGGGGCTCACTCCCTCGATGGGTAGCCCCTCTCCCCGGAGCCGCTGTGCAGAAAGCGCCTGACACTGCCCCTCGCTACCTGGTAACTGAGCCTGCGCAGAGTCTAAGGGAACAGTGAGGGCGCGTGGCCAGCTTCCCGGGGGACAGTGGTCAGGTGCATGGCCAGGAGGACAAGGAGGCGCGGGAGGGCAGGAGGGGCCCAGCGTTAGCTAGTGAGGACCTGCTATCACATGTGGGCACGTCGAGGGGATGCAGGCCAACCACTAGCGCACATGCCCACGAGGTGGTGCTCTTACCGCCATCACGCAGATGACAGCAATGCGACTTCCTGTCAGTGATGCGTGAGGTCCCAGAGCCGGCAGGGGCGGGGCTGGGCTTCTGCGCCTCAGGCACCTTCTGGATCCCCGCTCTGCCGGGTGAATTTTGGGCAACAGTGTGACGGCCAGGTGACTGCGGGCCACTGCAGGCCGAAGGGAACAAGTGTCAGGAGGGCGAAGCTAGGCCGCCCACTGCTGAGGGGAAAGGATGCCGTCTATTTCGGGCTGTGCTTCCTCGGCCTCAGGGGGGCCGGGCCCCGGGCTGGCACCTGGATGCCGGCTGCCTGGAGGAGGAATATTAGGAATAATCCGGCACCTGACACACGGAGATGCACGGAGTCGGGCCGGCGCTGCGAGAAGTCAGGGCTGCCGTGGGGTCGGCGGGAGCCAGGGGCACCGGGGGACACATAGATGCCTTCCCAGGCCCTGGCTGGAGGGGCTGACTGCCATTATTGAGCGCCGACTGTGTACAGGCAGGGCAGCGGCCCTTTGCCTGGACTCCCTCATTGGACCCTGGCACCAGGGGCCTGAGCTGGACTCCACCCAGCCCGAGGCCTCCTGCCTGGCGTGCCTCCATCCGACCTCTGTGTGTACTGCGGGTCCAGGATGGGACGGCTCAGACTCGACCCTGTCCGGGGAGCTGTGGACACACGGTCACAGGGCCGTGGAGAGTTCTCGTGTCCTGAGCAAAGGGCTGTGGCCACCTCTGCTGGAGAGTCCTCTCTGGTCCCCACCCGCCACCTCAGGGCTGCTCTCCCGTGGAGCCTGGAGCCACGGCAGCTGAAAAGATCTCGGGATCCTTGGGCGGCCGGGCCCCTGCACACGGCACACCACGCCCTCCCTGTCCCATAGCAGCTGGTGTCTGCAGCTCAGTCAGTTCTCACACCGCCTGCCAGAGTGGGCACAGACCCCACCCACAGGTCAGGGCTTGGTCCCACTGGCTGGCCCCAGCTCAGATGCCAGCGCAGGTGCAGGCCCCCCCACTTCTAACAGCCAGCAGTGTGCTGGGGTCCCTGGCCCCCCAGGCCTGACAGTTGGCTATGGTAGAGCCCAGAACTCAGACAAACACCTACTTACATTCCCAGGTGACCACAAGGGACGTGACAAAGGACGCAGGTGAGCGGCGGACGGAGCGAGCACAGTGAGGTCCGGAGGGGTCCAGGGGCAGGTGCTTCTGCGTCGCCCACATGACCATGAGTGCGTTCACCAGGAAGCTCCCCGCAGCCCAGGTGGGCAGGATGGGTCCCGAACCCAATCCAAGGAGGACAGGGCGGGGTGGAGGCTCCCAGCTCCTAAGCACGCTGGTCCTTCCACGACCAGTCCCATCCTGACGCCACTAGGGGCCCACCCAGAGTCACCTTCAGGACAAAGACACTCCCATTGCCTGTTAATTCCAAGGGATGGGGGGGGGGGGGGCTCCAGGTCAGGAACCGGGCAGGGACAAATGTCAATTTCTTCCTCTCACATCCGCCTGCCTCGGCCAAAGCCCACTCCCTGCTCCCTGCCCCAGGATTCCCTGGGATGTCACTGTTGGGGACACCCCAAGGCAGGGGTTGGGTCATCCTCCTAGCAAGGGTGGGGGCACTGGGGGCCGGGACCGAGGAACGCACTCCGGGGACACGCAGGCTAGCTCAGCCGCCCCTGGCTGGGGGACTCTCTCCCTCCAGGTTCCCCTGAGGATTTCGGGGCCAGGGTTCCTGTGGCAGGGCCCCTCAGGGCTCCCTCGCTGCCCCAGGGGAACCCCACTCCCCAGACGGGCTGCTTGCGCTCGTCCTGTGCGGGCTTTGCTGTGCAACCTCTAACTGAGCCCCTTCCTGGGCCGCTGCTGGGCCAGGTGTAGCCAAGGCCCGGCCTCCCTCCTGCCCTGAGCCAAGGGGAGGGCGGACTGCGAGGGCGCAGCTCCATGAGGGGCGAGGCCTGGGACGGTGGAGGCGGAAGGGGGGGACAGGCGCCACAGCCCCCTGGCAGCTCCACAAGCAGAATAAGGGCCTTCTCTGGGCGCACAGCCCCCACCTGGCCGGGCTGCACCCCTGCCTCCCTGCGAGCACCTCTTGGCAGCAAACAGCCTGCCAACCAGCCAGCCTGGCCTGGGAGACCTGGGCATGGCCCCAGAGCCCCAGAGGGACTGTGGACAATGTCACAGGGTGAAGAGAGAGCAAGAGGCGGACATGGCCAGCGCCACCTTGGGGGCTGGGACCGGGGTGGGGGCCAGGGACCGGGGTGGGGGCTGGACCTCGTGTTCTGAGCCAGGCCAAAGCAGCACACGTGTGGGAGGGGCTGTGGGGTCTCCGAGACAGACAGAGCCAGGCCCAGCCCTCCTGGCCACCAGCCGTGTGTCGTGGGGGTCTCTGATCGGAGCCCCGTGCACTGGAACCCTCACCTGAGTTGGGGCGGCCCCTGCCCACCGACGGAGGCAGGCGGACCAGCAGGGAGCCAGGCAGGCCCTTTATTGGAGAACTTGTCACAGACACACAGATACACACAGGCCATGGTCCCTGGGGCCCCGCCCGGACACTACCCAGCATCTGGCACAGGGGATGCCTCGGGGGCTCAGGGAGAAGGGCCAGCCCTGGGGGATTCTGAGGCCTGGGCGTCTCTGCAGGCCCACCCTGGCTGGGCTGTGATCCCAAGGTGCAGGGTCCCAGCTGGGTAGGTGAGCCTCGCCCCCTGGGGTTGGGCAGCATCGGCCTTAGCGCCAGGCTCCAGCAAAGGGTCCGTGGTGGGCAGTGCGGGGAGGGGTGAGGCTGCTGTGTCTCCACACTTGGCACAGCCCAGAAAAGGTGCTGCAGGAAAAAGGGATTAAGGGGGCTGGGGCTGGAGCTGAGCTGGAGGAGGGACAGGAGCTACAACAAAGGCTGGGGGGCCAGACCGGGCACCCCCACAGCACAGGCCGGACCCGGGCTCAGGCCTGGCCCTCCAGGGCGCGCACGTGCACGCTGGGCAGGCAGAACCAGGAGGGCGGCAGCTCCTTGCTTGTGCTGTCCTCGTGCACCCGGACGTGCAGGAAGAAGTCGCCCGTGTAGAGGAAGAGGAGGGCCCCGAGGCAGGCCGACTGGCCCGCAGGCTGCACCTACAGGCAGGAGGGAGGTGTCAGCCCAGAGCAGCGGGACCCAGAGCCACAGGGGACCCCGAACCTGTCCGGATAGTCACTGCACCTGTCCCAGCCTCGGCTTCGTTTCTGGGAGGCACTTCAGGTGGGGATAGGGGTGGGGCTGAAGGCACAGTGTCACGTGGGTGGAGCTTGAGGGCTGTGCCCTGTGAGGCTGGGAGGTGGGGCCAGGTGGGCTGTGTGACTCCATCAGTCCCCTGGGCCCCTGCAGTGACCATGGACAGGGAGGTGACTGCATGGGGCAGGGCAATAGTGAACGGGGGACCTCAGCTGCCCTGGCCCCCCCTCTCCGCCCCCCGCCCCACTCACCTTGACTCCTGAACTTCCCTGGTCTCACTCCTAGGGCTCCGGATGCAGAGAAGCGAGCTGCCTAAGGCCTGAGTGAGCCAGGCAGACCAGAGCCAGCCCAGAGGACTGGGGGGCAGTGGGACATGACCCTGGGGCTGCATGGGGCTCCCCGACCACGCACCGCATCCAGGTAGAAGGTGCTGGAGCCCACGAAGGAGACGGCGCTGTGCAGGTCGTAGTTGTGCACGCCGTTCTGGTGGTCCTGGAAGGGGACCACGGTGAGGGCGAAGGGCCCCACGCTGCGCGGGCTCCGGTTCGTCAGCCGCACCTCCAGGCGCATGGGATCGCCCACCTGGCAGGCCGCCGCCTCGCAGTCACACGGCTGTCCGTCCACCAGCACGTCTGCCAAAGACACAGGACATGAGACTGTCAGGGACACAGCCCAGGTGGCCTCCCCTTCTCGTCCGTCTTCTTGTTCATTCATTCATTCACTCCTTCCCTCATTCATTCATCCCCTCCCCCATCATCCTCCACGTCTGCCACCCCTCTGTGCCAGCTGGGTGCACGGTCCAGTCCCTGCTCTGCTGACGTGCAGGCTGGCAGGGACAGGCATGGGGCCAGAGCTCTAGGAGGGTCCCCAAGGTTGTTTGGGGCTCCAGGAGGGGCTCCAAGATACTCCCGCCCGGAAGGGCTGAGCTCTGGCCACAGTCCCCCAAGATGACAAGTGGCACCTGGCTGGGCCTTTGCGACACACACTCCTATTGACAGTGACTGGGGGTGGGGGGTGTATCTGCAAGTCAACAAACCCCCCACCACGCTCCCCTCCAAACCCATGTTTCAGGAAGCCTTCTGCGATCAAGCCTTCCCGTTTTGTTTCTTTAAAATCATGAGCTTTCACAGCACACTGTAAACACTTTGGGAAGTTTACGGAAGTAAAAACACTTTTGTAATAATCCCAGGCCCTGGCCCCGCGCCCTTAGCACCCTGGCGACTACTCCTGTGTCTGGGCATCCGCGTTGATTAACGCGGCCGTGGGGCTGGCTGCAGTTCTGAGTTCTGCACTCTGTGGCCGTGAGGACCGAGCATGTCCCCCATGTCGGCGTCCTTGGGAGAATGTTCTCGGAGGCCGCAGAAGATCCCAGGCAGGAAACACGCATGATGTGCCCACCCACCACGTCTCGCTGTGTCCACATTTGCACCATGAGCTTTGTCTGAATTCAGACTCAGGAATGGAATCACTGGGACAAAAGTAAGAACGACTAAGAGCGGCCGCTCCTAGGGTGCCGGCCTCCAGGGAGGCTCCAGGGCCTGCGCCTCGCAGCACCACGCGCCCGGGTGCCGACTCCACCCTGTGC